CTTTGCCATCCGCCGCAGGTGGGTGTCCTCGGCCTGCCTCTCCAAAAGAAGACACCCACCCACCCACCGGCCCCCCCAAGGCTTGCCCAGAGAAGGCACCGCTGAGCCTCTGGCAGCCCTCACGCCTGGGTGCTGAGCTGCCTGGCCCCAGAGCGCATGATTCAAACTTATTTCCTGACTTTTAAAAACAGACACTTGACTACGGCAACAATACAGGAAACGGCTCCGCGTGTGCATGCAGGCAGGGTGCAGACACCCTGCAAGCAGCCTTCGGTCGGAAACCTGGGAGCCACCCCCCCCTTGCCCAACTGCGCTCTCTCCTTCTCTCTCACTGTTATCGGTCTGACACCTTTTTTAAGAGCAGATCAAAACCACTTCTTTTCTGCATAGGAACCACCACCCTCTGATGCTGCTTTATCAGAAATCCAGTAATTGTCTTGTGGCCATGAGTTCCACATAGTAAGTTTCGATATTATGCTGGGAAAGCTTGGGTTCCTCCCCCTTTTTTTATTGAACAGATTATAAACGCAAATAATGGGTTGCTACAAGAGAGATCTGTTGATGCGAAAACATACAAGCTGAGAAACAGTGATCAAAACATAAAATTAGAAGCACATCTGCAAACACGAGGGGAAAGCACAGCATCCAGCGGCTAACATTTATTCCAGCAAAGCTGGGCTGAGATGAAAAACCGCCTGAGTCTAAACATCTTGGGCCGATGGCTGTGGGCCTAGTCTGCAGTGGCAGGGAGTGCCACTGGCCACTGGCCAACAACAGCTGAAGATGTAAACGGCTTCTGGGAGTCTTAAAAAGAAGCAGGGCAGAAACCTGCCAGCTTTAGGGTGTCAGCTGGCACTTTCAACATTGCTGACGTGACTGTTGTTGCCAGTCTCATTATGACCAAGCTCTGCCTCCCGACTGTCCTGGGCAAAGGCAATGGAGATGCGGGTTCTAATCCTCCCCAGAGCCAGGAAACTAGCTATCTGAGCGATTCTGGGCCCAGCCTGGGGGGGCTTCCCTCAACCTGGATCTCCCTCCCAGGATTGCTTTGCCCATCAGCCACCGCCGAGGAAGGGGCAGAATAGAAAAGTGATGGTAATAAACTACCGAGTGAGGATGTTTTTAATCCATCCTCGTCACCCTGTGATAGGGAGTCCATAGGCTTCCTCGGTCCCCTCTGCCTCCCCCACGGGGGAGGGAAGCATCCGTGTCTGTGTGAGGACATGGATACCCCCCCTCGCTGCTTCGAGGGAGCAAATCCACTCAGTTCCCAGGAATTTGGGGCATGGCCCCCCCTCTCCTCTCCCCTCCCCTCCATCATCTCCCCTTCGTAACCCTAACTGTGATGTCACCGTCTGAGCATCCGAAGCAGGCAAAGCCCTGCAGAAAGAGGTTTTTTTTGGGGGGGGGGAGAGAGAAATACAGAAAATGAGGAGTGGGCTGGTGGGATCTCTCTCTCTCTCTCTCGGGGGGGGGGACCGGGCCCCCTTTGCAACAGAAAGCCTGGGAATACTTGGATGCCTGCGGTTGACGTGCATTATCTGAAAAACGCTCTCCTGGAAAGCCGAGTAACGGACCGTTCCAACGAGTTTAATAAGCGTTACTGAATTACCTCATGAGACCCCAATGAAAGGGGGGGGGAAAGAGGCACGGCTCTCACGCCAGAAGCTGGATTTCGGGGCCCGGGGGGCGGGAAGGGACCTTTTGAAATGGAAGAAGGGGGTGGAAACGGAGTTGGGCCGCCCGCCCGCTTGGGACGGCTCTTTAATTAAGGGAGGCTTTATTAAGGAAGGGGCTTCCCCGGTTGGACGGCTTCCCGCCCCGCCCCCCTCGGAAGCCCTCCGCCGAAGGCTGCCGTCCAACCGGTGAAGTCGAGAATCCCGCTTTCCCAGCGGAAGGCTTGGGTTGCCCTTTGAAGGGGAGGGCGAGGCTCCCTCGGGAACCCGGGGAGGGGCGACCCAGAGGGGAGGCCGTCCGTCCGTCCGTCCGTCCGTCCCCCCACATCGGGGTCCCGGGGGCGCCCTCGCCTTCCCCGCAGGAATCCGGCTCTTTCTGCCCTTATAAGGCCATTTCGACGGGCGCCCAATCAGCGGCGAGGAGGGCACCCCCCCAAAAAAAAACTCGGCCCGAAGGGAGGAAGAGGAGGAGGGGCGGGACGGGACGGGACGGGGGGGGCAGAGAGAGAGGCTGGGCCGGCAGAGCAGCTCCTCCCGCCTCCACGACGCCCGACCGACC